TCTGCAGATTTGATGCGAAGTTGTAATTGTGATTTATGTAGTTGGATTAGTTTATAGATTTAAGTAGTTACTTGGAATAGTTTAGTGTTTCTATTACTTTTCTTTCAAACAGCGACAACGATTATTTAAATGGTAAAGATGTCCGTGAGGGGGAAGTTAACGTTGAAGCGGACGTTCACTTAAGACATGAATTGGTGACAGACGATGATTCAAGTTTTGAGATAACCCCTCCAACATGCACCTGGAAAGAAAGCTTGGTTCTCGTCTACCCGGATAATGGCATTAACGACGGCTTCATAGCTGATGAAAATGCTATTTGTATCGCTCTATCACTAATCGGTAAAAAAGATGTCAACAGCAAATATTACAACATGCAGCTAAACTCTTCGTTTGGTCATTCGACACTTCGTAAAATCAGTAGATAGATTGCACTTGCTTCAAGTGCCAACAAAATCAAGAAAGAACCATAACGTCTGCCTATGGCTATGGGAACCGCAACAACGAAAACCCGGCGTGACACGGAAAAAAATAATGCAAGTTTCAAGAACAAAGAAAACCTCCGGCGAAGAAAAAGGCGATGTCGAAGAAACTTTCAAAAAATTGAAAATATCGGAAGAAGGTCATTAACAAGATATATGTGTGATCTACAGGACCTGAGATCGTGAAAAACAACGAGAAAAAATGAAGGCCGAGCATTTAGACAGGTTATCCCCAATTTATCGGATAAAAGAAGAAATAACGCCTACGTTAGGGACTAACGGTGTCAAGAATGTTATAACCGCTGCAATGATTAAATTGCGCTATATTATTTGTTATCTTGAATGTTTGTTATGTTTTTTATCTTTGCTATATTTGTAATGTTTTGATCGTAAAAATCTACCGTAGAGGCTATATAAGGTCCAGCGGAGACACAGGTCTCCAGCGAGGTTTGTAGCGAAATTTGGTGCGAAGTTGTAATTGTGATTTATGTAATTACTTGGATTATTTTAGAATTTCTATTATTTTTGTAATTCAAATAAACGTTGAACAAAGTTTACGTTTAAAGCAGTTGTGTTCATCTATCATAAATAGTGTTGATATAAAAATCATTGAAGTTATAACATTGGTGTTGGTAGTTACGAGCGTTTAAGAGTTACAACAGTATGCTCTGCTTTCTATTTAAAGGTTAAAAGGTTTCCTCTTTCTCTCTCAGTTTTATCTATCCTCTCGTTGATCCTAGATAAAATAACTTAATTCTTCTAATTAAACTGAACTTTCAATGTTATACCGCTTCAATTATACTTCTGAGATTTCCTTGTTGATTCCAAATATTTTAAAGTGAGACAATAAAATATCAACATGCTTAGAAAAGATTGATATATTTTTATGAATATCATGTTTAAAAAATAAATAAATCAATATCTCGGCATCTGTCATTCTTCAATATTAAAACTTTATACAAATTTTTGTTTGCAAAGTCTACCTTAGTTCTAGCACATGACACCATCTAAATTACTGCGGATCTGATTTAGTGTGACTCTGTTGATCATTTTTTAGATTGGCCTAAGTAACTCGAGGTAAGATTCTTTACGATTTACTTTTCTGTTAGTTCATTGTTAGTTCTGCAAAAATAAGTTAATCTTAAGCTCCTCTTTAAACAAAATCAAAGATAGATTTTGTCTTCTTTAAAAAAAGCCAGTAGACTGTTCCAGTAATATTTCGTGATCAAATTTGTAAATTCGTTGCTAGCACAACCAGAAAGTCATATCAACTGATCTTAAGTTCACACCCGAAACAGATGTTTTTTATGATAAACTTGCATGTCAAATACTGTAATATCAAGCCATGTAATGACCGAAACCTCAACACAGCAATTCTGAAAATTATCCTCTTTTCAAATTTTCGCCAGTATAGCTCGTTTAAGATCAAACTTCAGATTTTTGGTGACAAGGGTTGCAGCTCGATTTTGAATTGACCGAAGTGCAGCTTGTCAAGTAGTTTAAAGTACAAACTGCTACAATAATCCACCCTAGATGTAACAAAAGCATGTATCAATGTTTCCATGGCAGATCTGTTTAAATAGTGTCGAATCCTGAGATGATCATACTTGCAATTGCAAGCGATTTAATATGATCTTTCATTGAGAGCCTGCTATCCAACCAAACACCCAAATTTATGGCTGTAGAAACAAATTACACCTCAACGTCACCAACCTCAATCGAGGTTATATCAAGTCTCGACAACTGCAGCCAGGAAGCATCTGGGTTTTACCCCGGTTTTACCTCAATGAATTCCTCAACACCCAACGTTCAATGTCCATCAAACATCTGAAAAGTCCATGCAAATTCATTATTTTAATTATATCCGCAGTATAGAGCAAAAACAAAACTGGTCCTAACACTGATTCCTGATCCTTCTTGGCAGCTGATAAAACTTTTCTAAACAAAACCTGTAGAGTTCGACCTATTAAGTATGACACGGCAAGGAAAAGTCCTGACACTCCAAAATTATTATGCAATTTTTCAAAAAAGTTTGTTGTGATTAACTTAGTCGAATGTAGAAGATCAAGAAAAAAAGAGTAGTTATCTTCCAATCAGCTATACGCGCAAAAAAGTTTGACAATACATGAACCAATGCAGTCTCAGTTGAATGGTAGCGTCTAAGGCCGATTGGTTGATTGGTATGAAATTGTTTGCTGTTAGATATTTCGTCAGAAAAACCACAATGACACGCTCCAAAACCTTTGAAATAAAGAAAAGGTTTGATATTGGTCTATAGTTACTCACCACATTTGAATCCGAGTTAGCCTTTTTCAAGATCGGTTGAATCATCGCATGCTTAGAGTTGGAAAAAATTTACAAATTTACCAACACGTTAACAAAAGTTTATGAAACTCGTCAGAAAACATATAAATGAGTCCAAGTATCTTTTAAAGATACGCGTGGAGATCATGTCCAATCTGCATGTTTTCGTTGGAGATTATAGTATCGTTTCCCTCAACTGAATTTCAGGAACCAACAGAAAGCAGGAAAACGTACATTTATCAAACATCGAGACAGCATGAAACCAAACATCAGGATGTGCACTTGTTGTTTTAATTGTCCATGCAATTTTATCATCAAAAATTGTAAAATTTGATCAGCATTTAGAGTTTCATTACTAAAAGAAATGTTTACCAAACTTTGACCCAACATCTTATTGGCAGCATACCAAAGATTTTTCTTATTTTTGTTACTATTTACGATATTGTTCCAATAATGTGTACGCTTGTCAGAAAAAAGTTTAATTTTAGGCTTCAATGAGAGCTCCCAGTTCCTTAGATTCTCAATTTCCGGACGTCTACACTCGCTCCCAAACCAAGGTGCAGCATTTGTCTGTTTAAGATAAATCACCCGCATAAGCATCAAATCATCAAAAATTCGTTTTATTTCACTACTCAACACAGCAAATTCATGATTAACATTATCAGTTTGACATTTATTCGCCACAGAAAAATTCTCCAGTGCTTCAACAAAACATCTTTCATTCAGGTCCTTCCACTCTCGCACTTATTTAACTGAACACGGATCTTCAATCTTCGTATCAAAAAGTGAAAAATTGTGTGAACAAACCAGACATAAGCTTTTGTTGATTAACATGATTAGCCAGCTGGAACACCTCTTCTAACTATCCCACTTCTGACATCAATTGTTATAACCGACCCCTTGTACTTGTAGGTTGTGGTTATTTCTCTCTACGTATATTCTTGACTCCTGAACAGACTTATTTCAGATGAACTTTATCAGAAAGAAAACAGTGCTGGCAATTACTTGTGTGTATTGCCGTAATCAATCACTCGTTTTATTAATTGTTAAAATCGTTAGAATACAGCACAATAAATAAGACGGGTAAATTACGGATTACAACCAAACGTCAATAATTAAGCTTCTCTCAACGGACTAATTGTATTGTGTTCTCCTAGTCCTGGCGTTCTTTACTGCAGTAAGTTTCCAGCTATCAAAATCTTACCTCTGTCACCAGTGTGTAGTCTCCTAAAGATCCCACTTCTAACACCAGTTTTGTAACCTCTTCGACCTCGTAACTACCAACACCGATGTTATAGCTTCAGTACTCGCTATATTTCCAACACCGTGTTTTACCTTCCAATGACAGTCAAGAATTCGTTTATCCGTAGGTTCGAGATTTCCGATAGATGAACACAACTACTTTAAACGCAAACTAAGTTGAACATTTATTTAATAAAAGCAGTAATGGAAACAATAAATTAATCAAAATAACTACGTAAATCACATTTACGACGTCTACGTCCACTGTTGTTTCGTCTTTTTCTTACCTGTTCTCATATCTCTTGTGTGTGTCTCTCTCTTCTGTCCCTCTGTCTCTCTTGTGTCTCTTGGAGTTCTTTATATAGCTACCGATCCGCTAGTAAGTGTGTCACGTGACTTTTATTAACAACCGTTTTAATTATTTACGCCTTCTAACTAAATTGCAAGCGCTCCACACAATTTCTAACTACTAGTTCTTATCTCGGCTTCACCTTTGTAACAATATCAAGCATTCCATGTAATCGTAGAGTAATAGGACTGTTCAATGTTAAAATCACCCATAACAACAATACGAGCCTCCGACATTGTAATTAACTCCAACATAGAAATAAACTCTTCAAAGAATACTGAAGTTATCCGTTCCGAGCCAGGTCTACAGAGGGCAATTAAACAAAACTGATCAATCCCAATCTTCAATCTGATGGCCCCAGTCTCAAACTTGGAAAACAAAAGATAGATTTATCTTTTTATATTTATAATAATTTCGAAAGTAAATCACCAATCCTTCGTGACATGGGTCGTTTGGTCCGACGTAATCCACAAATGAGAAACTAGGTGGCATAGCTAAGTAAACCGAAATATTACCTTCAGATACATGCCATGTTTCACACAGAACCAACATGTTAAGACCATCCATAAATCATTTCATAGACTTCATCTACTTTATTCAACAGACCAATCCCAACAATCCTCTTATAAACATTATAATTCTATTTGCCATGTCTAAAACTGCCAAAATTAGCATATTGTTTTTTTTGGTATCGTAAACATTTCAAATTAATCTAATTTAATCAATCCATCAATCTTCGTTTAGCGTCCAGAGACCCAGTTTCCAAAGGTAGGACGTTGTTTTTTTGCCATCAACTTTTTGCGCCAAATTAGACGATCAGTTGTATCCATATCATTTAAATGTAGAGCTTTCATGTCTTTCTCGATTGTTTGCGATCAGGACTTCTTTGGACGGCCTTTGGGACGTGAGCCAGGTACTTCAACATCTGCAAGAAAAATTATGGCACTGTTTCCACCTCGTTTGACATGACCAAACCATCGCAGACAGTGTTGCCGGCATTCGTCCTTTATAACATCAATTCACTGTGGTCCTTCAGACTAATTCGTTGCATCCATCGGAACATTTTCATGTCGGTTCGTTGGAGTTGTTGTTCCAGTTTGGTTGTCATTGGCCATGTTTCTGCACCATATAACAACACCGGACGTATCACAGATTTATACAGATTTCTCTATCTTAATGGCTTCAAAAACAGTGCAATTCTCAACAATAAATTCGAAATAGCACTGTCTTTGAAGCCATTAAGGTAGAGAAGTCATATCGTTTCAATATCTAGGGGATGTTCTGGATTGTGCTGGAACAGCTGAAGCTGCCGTTCGAGCACGCATACGTGCAGCCTGGAATAAATGGCATCTCCTTGCCTCTATATTGATGCGGCGTGACATCCCACTACCATTACGATCAAGAGTACCACAACTCAGTTTATCTTTATAAATCTTCCAGTCATCCTCGACATTTTTATCCTCTGTAAACACATCAATCACTGATGGTAACAGAGCCAACTTCAAACCATTGTAATCGCCTAGATAGAAGCAAAACGTTTTTCAAGTTCATATCTGTTAAAAGTCCAAAACCAGCAATCATAAATTCAACCACAGAGTGATCACTGTTTCCAAGAGGTGAATAAAATTTCACGTTTTTAACAAAATCTTGTGATGAAATCACTAAATCCAATATATTTGCAGACTGACCAAATCTAAATCTTGTTGGCTGGTTAATGTGTTTTAACAAAAATTTATTTTTAAGGATATCTAAAAATTTGTTTTCAAATTTCTCTTCACCTCCACCGCAGCTGTACGTATCCCAGTCTATTCCAGGTAAATTGAAATCCCCAAACATTAAAAAATCACCTGGCAATGCTAGACTATCATTAATCAGTGTTAATAGATGAATGTTATTTTCAACACTGGATGTGGAGCTTCTGTATACAAACAGAATATTTAAAATCTACCAGAAATGCAAACCTTCACTGTCATATATTCTTTGAATTCTGAGACCATACCAACTTCTGAAACCAACAAAGACTTTTTAAAAAACAGCAAAAGTCCCCTTCTACCAACATCAGAAAACCTAGATGCCAAACTTGAGTACCCCTGCAAATTGTATTCAGACAAAACTCTATTATTTTTTAAAATTTTTGGGATTCACCTCCATTAAGGCAATTAAATCATTTTAAACTTCCCAACAAGGATTGTAAATCTCCAAACTTATTAGACAAAGTATCTACATTGGACATCATAATTCTTAAATGTTTCAAATTTGTCTGACTTAAATTTTTTGTATCTCTAAATTTTGCTTTCTAACAGCAACCACATAAAAATCACCTGGTTTTTCTTTGAGCCTCTTTGGCACTTATTTCTTTCCTTTTTTCTTCCAAAAGATTTCTGTTGTTACTTCTTTCTTCCTTGGAAAGATCATGATTGACGATTACTTTGTTTAAAATTGCTGATTTTTTGAGTTTATAACAATTTGCAAGCAACAAATTTTTGGTATTGATGTTTGCAAACTGAATCAAAACTGGTCTAGATTTTTGATCATCTTCCATTTTTCTGCCCAGTCTAGAAATTTCAATTCCCTCTGTTTCTAAACCAATCTCTGATATTTCTTTCAATAAATTTTTAACAACCTCTTTCGTGTTAACCCCTTTTTCTTGCAAATTATATAGGATCACATTATTTATCCTCTTTTCTCTGTCATTTAGAAATTCAATTTTAGATGAGGTATCAACAATTGTTTTTTGTACCTGTTTGACATCTAATGACAACTTATCAACTTTTCCTTTAACCGCATCTGAATATTTTTTTATTTCCTGCTCACTCTGTTCAACCCTTGTCTTGTTATGACGCCAACCACCAGTTATAAGCGGTGGGCCTAGCCTTTTGCTCAAAAGCCTGCAAGGCAGCGTAGATGCAGTTTTATATCACACCCAGGACATCAATTTAATCTAATTTAATATAATTTAAATAACAATTTCACTTCATTTTTAGCTAATTTCAATTTTTTAATTAAGTTTCTAGTCTTCTGTTTTATTAACTTTTTTTATCCGTTTTTACTTTTATCTACACAGTGCAAGTTATCGCTCTTATCATCACGCAAATGATCCAATACACACGCCAACAACTGCTTGAATTTCAACCCGACAAATTCGCCATCAAAAGACCATAAGAAAATCTCTTTTCCTCAACTAAATTTGAAACTCAGATCATCACCAACATCAAAACCTCTCCTCTTTTCTTCAATCGCTACAGCACTCTACAACAACTTCAACATCAACACCCCCGTCAGTAATACCAGTTGTAGTTTCATCAACTTATAAAAGAAGCAACCATCTCAGCCGACGCTCCTCCCCTAATCATCCCAACCTCATCAACATCAAACACTACGACTTACAACCCAGATAAAATCACCCCATGTCATCATCCACCCACAATCTACATTTTGAATGACACTAGCATTGTCAAACCACCTGCTATTGAGCATTTAAGATGTGATGTGTATCATCTCCACCCTGACATCATTATCATCACAGAGTCATGGCTTATGCCAAATCACCCTGATGGTTTGATCGCAATAGATGGCTACACACTCTTCAGAAAAGACCGCCCTGGCAGGCAACGTGAAGGAGGCGTTATCATCTATTCGAAGTCATCCATCTCTTCTCAAATTCACATCGTTTCGCCTCATGCTATCAATGATGCACTGGAAACCCATTGTCTCAAGTGCATTATTGACAGTGAACCATACTTCATCTGCGCTGTCTATCATCCACCAAATCATCCATCATACGAGATCTCCACCTTGATGGGTTACATCGATGAACTCTCTAACACTGCGTTTGGGAGCGACTCAAACTCGTCATTGGAGGTGACTTCAATCAACTCAACCATCATTCCATCTTTCAAACAGGTCTACACCCTATATTCTGGAATCCCACCAACCAAGGTCACAACCTTGACAGAATATATAGGATAAATGTAAACCTGGACATCACTCACACTTATAGGCTACACGCTTCAACACATCATCTTAGGGTGGTTGCTGATCCTCCACCAACTAATTCACCATCGAAAAACAACACCACGAGAAAAAACATCTCGTTTTGCCGTCGTCATCCATCACAGAGAAGTGCTTACTTTCAATATATCAACAACATTGACTTCTCAATACTCTACCAGCAATTTTTAAAAATAACACCATTAATTTTGATAATATTAAAAATAACAATGATCTTACTAAAAGTAATAATACTTGTAACAATAATAATAATATTAACAATGGTGCCAATGATAATAATAATAATATTATTAACGATATTTTACGTTCATAACTAACTCTATTGACAATTTATTGCAACACTGTTATAACTTTTACAAAATCATCAACACAACTTACAACACGTACTACCCAACATCAAACATCACGATCAGATCATTAGCCCATTCATCAAATATCTACTTCGCAAAAAAAATAAATTCATGAGATCAGGATCCATCCTCAAAGCCACCAAATATATCAACAAACTCATCCTCAACTTCAACTCAAAAACTTTCTCTAACAGTAAGCGTGGAAGCAAAGCCATGCGGGACCAAGTCAACAAAATCAGAGGCTCTGACTAATCATTCAACACGTCAACTTCACAGCAAATTGATGCCAACACACTCAACACCCACTTTGCTTCCATGTCAACCGACCCGTCCTACAAAACTCTACCAACAAAAGCTACAACTATCAATAGTCGTCATCAACATCAACATACTCCATACTCCGTCCTGCATATGCTAACGAAGGCCTGTCCATCCGGTACAGATCCAGACAGTCTACCAGCATGGTTTCTACAAATCATCGCTCCATTCATCTCCAGCACCTTAAGTTCACTCTACAATCACTGCTTAATGCATTCATTCATCCCATTACAATGGGAATCCAGTTCAATTCATCCAATTCCTAAAACAAAATACCCTTCATCACCAATAGATTATCGCCAAATATCTATCACCCCCATACTTTCACGTATTCAAGAAAAATTCATCGTTAGGTCATTCATCTATCCATGTTTCAACCATCCATCCATCAAACCACTATGTTGAGTGAATCTGATACTGAAAATTTTGAGATGCCATTTGCAGTTATTGATCGCAACAAAAAAAGATCATGAATAAATACTAATGCAGATAATACAAGTTTAAACTCTAAAATCAATACAAATATTGTTCGTGGAAGTAAGAGATGAAAATTCTAAATTAAAGGATTTAAACCCGTTGTCAAGTCCGAGTTTTTTGTCAGAAATATAGTTAAATGTTCAAAAGATGAACTAATTGAAAAATTTTCCAATACATTCCTAGAAAAAAGTGACGAACATAAAAATGAGGAACATGAAAATGAAGATCAGGTAACCGCGTTACGAGTCTGCATTAATAAAGATGACAGACAAAATGCGCAATGCAGAAATTTGGCCATCGCAGGTAGTGGTACGCGATTGGGTCACGAAGGAGAGAGACAAAAAAGAGAAATTAATTAGAAAACAATAATGGAAGAAAAAAATTTTAAATAAAAACTTCATAAAAGAGGATTTTGAAGACATATGCCATAATATAGGATCCAAAATATTACACAGTTATATAGTTAAATTATCTAACGTGATAAAAATATCTTTTTATAAATAAACTGAAAAAATATTTAATTACGAAAAGTTCTGATTTGGAGAACAAAAAATAAAATTAATTCTTGTGGGCTTGATCATTGTGTATGTTAAAATAGCTTTACAATGTTTTGATAATGTAACAAGAATAAACTCGTTTTTAAAGGATAATAATTTAACTATATTAACATTGATACATTTTTCTTCTATTAATAATTTTATTTTATACTAATTCTAATTAT